GTCTCATCATGGATAGAATAGCGTTGTAGGTCACCTCTTACAACAAGTCTAGCCTTATATTTAAGAAGGTAGCCATTGTCATTGAATTTGTATGTGAAAACCCACATAAGGGGTATCACAAAGTTCCGTACGGAGCTGTCGTTGACAGATGTGAACGTTCCTTGCTTTCGAAGGTCTCCTATTTCCTTTGCAGCTGCAGCTTGGAATCCTATTCGATGTGGATGAGTTTGGAGTTGATTCCAGAACTTTGGAGCAGCTGGTAGGTCCGTACGGTGTATGCTCTGTCAATTGAACTCCGTTCCTACTAGGAAAGCTTGGTGTAAGCTTAGCTTTGCTTCTGGTATCGCTATTGTAGCTAGGTAGACGTCGTGTCTTCGTACGGTGTCCTCAGGGCGTTCCGGTGTCATTTCAGGCGTTTGAAGTTGTTCCTGTAGCTCTGTAGCTCCGTGGTCCTTCTGAGTAGGCGGCTCTTCTTAAGGAGAGGAGGTGTTTGTTGCCTCTGATTCGTACGGAATTGTTGTCCCGTTCTGAGGCTGTTGTTCCCCCTCAAACTTCTCATCTTCTTGATCTTGAATATCTGGTATTTCAATGACCTGAACTGTCTTTTCGAGCTCTGTTTGGACAAGCTGAGCCTCGTACGAAGGGTCATAAGCCTTTGTCTCATCAAAGGTAACGTCTCTTGTAACTATAACCCTTTTAAGTTGCGGAACCCAAATGCGGAATATGTTTGTAGAGTTATAGCCAACTAGGTAGCCTATTTGGGCGTTCCTCTGTATCCTCTCAAGCTTTGGCTTGTTTAGAATAAGGGCATAGGCTCTACAGCCATAAGAGCGAATATGAGAGAGTAATGGCTTAAGTAACTCTGGCTTTTGGCTCTCTGTAGGTAAGGACTGGAGTAGAAGTCCGTACGGGGTCTCATCGTTTATGACTGATGATGGTGAGCGGTTTATGAGGTACCCTGCTGTTTTGAAAATCTCAGGCCACATTCCTTCTGGTAAGTTGGCTGATTCTTTAAGTGCGCGTGATCGTGTGATTATCGTACGGCCTGACCTCTCTATTCCTCCGTTCGGCTCTGCTGTATAGGGTGGAGAGATGTGGATTTCATATCCTTCGTCCTTAATCCAACCCTCCCATTCATTTCCAAGTGAGGCTTCACCATCTAGGTGGAATATGCAGATTTGGAACCCCCATCTTCTCCGTACGTAGCTCACAAAGTCCTTAATCATCTGTAGGAGCGTTCCTTGTGTTTTATCCTTAATAGTATAGACGTGGTTCATGCGGCAATTATCACATAGGAAGTGTAAGGCTTGTGTGCTGCCATCGTACGCCTCTGGCATTTCGATTAGGTCAAGGTGGACCTTCTCATATGGCACTTTTGAGCGTGGTGTAGATCTTCTAGAAATCTGCCTTGTAGCATGCGTAAGTCGGCATACTTCGCACTGAGTATCGTACGAGTCTAGGTCTGTGACGGTAACTCCAGCGGTCTTCTCTTGGAGTTTTCTAATGGCGTTTTGGTTTAGGTGTCCCATGCGGTTATGCCATTCCTTTGCAGTGCCTTTTAGGTCCTTACTGTCATACTGACATTCGTTGCACTCAGTTTGCTATCAAACTCAAGAGCAAACTTAGAAATCTCCTCCTCAAACCTACAAGTCACCATACATATCTTGGCTTATCACACCAACAACAGAAGCAATACTACTCAACGATTGCTGCAAACTCTTCTACTACATCTGTTTATGCTACATACATCACGGCATATCATTTGGACACTCATTGAACAAGTTATTAAGAAAATCTCCTCCTTAAGGGGGTGGGCCAATACTACCACATGGCATATCTCTACCAACTAGAGGCCTAGGAACATGAACGATAGCTCTAGAAGCTTCTACAACCCTCTATGATTCATTACACGTCATCGCTCCTTAGTTACCCACAAGATTGGTTAAGTTATGACATAATTTGTCTATAGGTACTCTGACCTTGGACCTCCTTTTAACTTCCTATAGGCTAGGAACCCAAGAGATGGTTCTATGGGATTCTCTTATGTCGACTACAGTTACCAAGCCTGGTTAGTCATGGAAAGTCATGGAAAATGAGAGAACTACACTCCTTTAGCATAAATAGGATTGCCCTTTCCTTAAGAAAGGGCAAGCAGACAATACAGTAAATCGACTATCACATACTTCCACGTCTTTTCCAAGCTTCCAAGCATTCATCTTGTTACTCCTTGTTTCTGAAAAGTCAGTGAGGTGTTAACCTCTGACTTACCCCTGAGTTCCCAGACTCAACATTTGTTGCAACTTGTCTGAACCACTTCACTACATCACACACCTGATTGCTGCGTTGTGGAATAGTCTAAGCTACAACCCTTTGGCTCTGTTTCCTAAGACAGTGTGTTGTCTTAGTAAAATCATCCCTTCCTTGGGTGGCTAGATTCTCACATCTGGTGCACCCACCATTACACTTACGAGGTCCGTACGAAGATAGGACAATGTTGTCCTGTTGATCCTGAGTGCTATAAACAGCTCGGGTAGGCTCATTTTTGATGTATTCAAGAACCCATTGTCCATGAAGCATTGGAGTGTTGCAAACGGTTGATAGTGTTATTCCAATGAACTCCCTTTTGGATGAATCGTCTAAGAGAAGCGACTGAAGTGTGGAAGGATGAAACAAGAGCTGTATCTGTAAGGGTGATAGTCCGTAGAGTCTTCTTATCCTCCCCGTTTTGGACTGTAATATCTACAGACCCAAATGCTTCAATCTTCACCCTTTGGTCTCCAGCTAAGAGGTAGCTATTATCTTGACATTCTTGGATATTGTAGAACCTCCTACGGTCATTGCAGACGTGAATTGTAGCTCCAGAGTCGAGAATTATGCTTTTAGAGAGCTCATAGGCTGAGGTTTTCGGCTTTAGTCCTTGGAAGACTTGGAAGACTGTAGTGAAAGACATAGGTGGATCTGTATTCATACGGGATTGTACTCCATTCGGGTTGTTGAAATTGTTCTGTTCTTCTGCCTTTTGGATAACGTACTGGAATCCTGGTTTGTCACTTATATAGGCCTCTACTTTAGCTTCAATCTCTTTATTTGGGCGCCATTGCCTCGTACGGTTTGACTTCATCACATAGAGGCAGTCCCGCCACTTGTGTGTTGTTCCGCAAGGGCAGTCTAGTCGAGCCTGATTTTTCTGTTTTCTGCCTCTCTGACCTTGCTGACCTTGTTGTAGGTTGTTCGTACGGCCTTGGAGCGTTGGCTGTAGGTCGCTATTGTCATCCTCTTGTAGTGCGAAAACTCCATGTTCCCCCCTAGGTTTCTGGGTGAATCTCTCTTGCCTACGGTTGGTTCTATACTGTCGTAGGACCTCCTCAAATTCGTACAACTTTGTCTGCTTCTCTAGCTTGTGTTTCCATGGTCCTCGGAATTTGCAAGGTCCTATTGCATCAAGGAAGGTATAGATAGTGTCGTGAGGGTCGATAACCTCTGTTGCCTGTAGCGTACGGCCTTGAGTGTATAGATTCTCCCAGTTTAGGAGCCAGTCTTCAAGGTCCTTGCCTCTTTGCATTTTCGCAGCCTTTTGCCATTCTAGTCTCCATTCTCCGATTCTAGCTCTTTGAGTAGGTGCGAACCGGTCTCGTAGCTTTCTAAGCATATCGTACGGAGTATCGCAATTGTAGGTATAGGGTAGGAAGTCGCGTTTGATGGTTTCTTGGATCTTAGAGCGAAGCCCCTGAATTGCTTCCTCCTGCTTTTCCCACACCTTGCGCTCATATTGGAAATCAGCTTGTAGGTTTCGAAGCTGTTCCTTCTGATCTTCTGTAAGAGATGCGTACGTAATTGGCGTTAATTGCTGTTGGCCTTCTACTGAAGGATGGATGGTCTGGCTACCTGAAGCTCTTGTTGACACTCCAGGTCTTGTTTGAGCAGTAACACCACCACCAGCTTGCGTGGCACTCCGTACGAACTCAGGAATAGGTCGAACGGGCTGTAGGAGTGTAGGAGGGTCCTCGATTGATGGATCGATATACCCCCATACTCCTGCCTTCATTGAAGCAGTTTTGATAGTCTCTATCCACTCGTCCCAGTCTCTAGGGCTTGTGAGGACCACCCCCGCCTTCTGTAGGGTCGCCATTGTAAGGATGCCTCCGTACCTAGATACTCGAAGAACCTGTCTCAGAACTGTTACAGTCACTACAAGCATGGAATCCGACTCGGTGGGGTTTCGAACCAGTAGAGGAGCATATAGCGAGTTACACTATAGTGGGGGACGGTAAGTGTATAGGGTTCAGGGCCGATGTAGACCTGTTGCGGTGGAAGGTTCAGGGCTAGGGTTGGGATAACCGAGTCGGGCCCGTTTCGGGAGTTAAGGAAACAGACTCAACGGGGTTCCCCCTTCATCTTTTTTGTATCCTTCGTAGTAGACCTATAGGATAGCATCCGTTTAGCCTCCGACTCGCACTCTCATATGCTATTACTGTGAGCTGGGTGCCCTGTGTCCTTACAGCCATAATGATGGTTTTTTCGACTCCAGGACACAGGACTTGATTTTGGTCCGTTCGGGTTTCTATAGGCTTCAAAATGCGTCTTGGAGTTGCTCCGGGCTCATAACTGTTGAGTAATATGCGTGTGTATTCCTGTCTATCTATTGCTGCCTGAAATTGCGGGGAAGTGGTGCTGAGATCATGTGACATATTACAACATATTATGTTATGTTATCCACAGGGATCCACAGAATATCAGGTGATGGATAACATTGGATATCAGGGATATTATGTTATCCATGTTATCCACGGATATCCCTTTGGCACGACGCCACTATATAAGTAGATAGTATTTCCTTAGATAGGAGCTTCGTGCTCAACTCGAGAGGACGGATCTGTAACTAGCAGCCCCAAACTGATCAATGAATTAAGTTCCTATCAATGCTGGATATTCATGAAGGCCATATATAAATCTACTAAGTGCTAGGATCATCTTTAAATGTTACACGTGAGGTGTCTGAACTATTCATTGGCATCCCAGAATTCCCCTGCAACCCTTGCAGCTTGTGCAGCCTCCTTTGTGAACCTCACCCAATGTCCTGCCAAAATGATATCGTGTACCCCTTCCGCAGTAACATCCAGGCCCACCTTGTTTCCTTCCACGGCCTTGAATTCTTCATACAGCTGCACGTTATGATCGTATAAAATTTCACTGGCCCCAGTTAGGAACAGTAGCGGCGTCGGTGTGGCAAATGGATTCCCCAGAAATTTAATATTGGGGTGCGCCAGCGTAATCCCACTTGCCTCGCTCGGCATCAGAGAATTCGCACCCCACAAACCAACCCGCTCATCGAGGTAGTCAGTCAGCGCATTGCGATGCGTCCTCATCACCAGTGGGTCCAAGGCCCCCTCAGGGTCCGCCCAAGGTGACCAGAGCCATGCGCACGCCGGAGACGCCAGTTTCGCATCCGGGTTGTCGGCAAGGTAGCGTAAGAGCGCCATCGTTAGATGGCCTCCAGCGCTATCACCCGAGACTGTGATTTTCTCGGCTGGAATGCCGAGCCCGTCTGTGAGATATAGATAAGACGTAATGGCATCCTGCAAGGGAGCAGGGAAATGGCACCCTGGGTTCGACGAGAGCCGATATTGCGGGGCAAATATATGGGTTGCGGCAGTGTTGGCAAGGAGCGTCTTCGCAGCAAATCCAGCGTCATTGTCCCGTCCATTCCCAATCGCATATGCGCCGCCGTGGAAATGAAGAACAACCTTGCCGACAGCAGTGCCCGAAATTGGGCGGGCGGGGTACCAGGTCCCTCCGATAGTCTCGGGTTTGACTTCGGCATCCAGATCAACCACTCCGATGTACTTGTCCGATGGTCCAGGCTTCATCACCACAAACCGGTCGCCTTCTGAACCCGGCTTAAGGCTCAAGGGGGTCTTCAGCTCAATAACGGCCATCCATGTGAGGAACGACTTCACGAGGAAGACGCCCAGCGCCTGTTGATAGGTCCATTTAGGATTTGGGCGGCGGGAAGCGGAGAGGAAATAGAGCATCCAGAATGGTAATTGGACCACGCCGACGCCGATTGCCCTCACCGTAGCAACGATTTTGCCTGGATAGCGGGTGTAGGCGGATTTCGAGGCCATGGTCACGGTCTTTATCTGGCTATAGCTATAGCAAACAATTGAATATTATGGCTGAAGAACGAGGGGGAGAGGGATGAAATATGCTCTGAGCCGCGCCGCCCAGCTAGTAGAATTTGTTGGGGTAGTTGTTGACCCCATGGGGAAAATGCGCAACCTCATTGCCACGGAATTGCTTGTGAAAGACCGAGGAGTGTTCGGTAGGGTCTACACTACATTTATAAATTATGGCTAGTGAGAACTTGATAATAAGGGACTCTTACAACTCTATACTATGGGAACGGCGAAATAATCCAGGTAAAATTGCTTGTGAAAGACCGAGGGGGAGAGGGATGAAATACGCTCTAAGCCGCGCCGCCTAGTAGAATTTGTTAGGGTAGTTGTTGACCCCATGGGGAAAATGCGCAACCTCATTGCCACGGAATTGCTTGTGAAAGACCGAGGAGTGTTCGGTGGGCATTTATAAATTATGTGGGGCGATACTAGTAGAATGACGCTAGTTAGAACTTGATAGCAAGAGACTCTTACAACTCTATACTATAGGAACGGCAAAATAATCCAGGTGAGTGAAGTGAGACAATAAATATAGTTTACGATTAATATAGTTTACGATTAATATATAAGTTAGTATATATAGTACTTTAAGTATACTATGCGACGGCAAGCAGGGCGCGGTTTTTTAGCATACAAGCTCGTCTAGGTTTAGCGCTCCCACTTTAGGTTTAGTTGTGTCCTAGTCTAGTTTAGTGTGCTTAGTTTAGGCAAATGTATCTGCCGATCTACAGCACGCCGCTTTCCATCAACCTTAGAAACTGTAAGGTTAAGTAGTTGCTGCCCTTTGCTCTCTAGAGTAAGAAGAGGAAAATAAGGAGAAGGACAGTTAAGATAGAGATAGAGGCAGCTGTTTCACGGCTTTTACAGGACGTATAGTGGGATTTAACCATAGGGTAAGATTTTATTAGATTCTGTGAAAGCGATGTCAGTGCGGCTGAAGAGATTGACTTCGAAACCGCGATGCTTGGCTACGTCCTTGTCCTTGATGAGGACGGAGCTGAAGCTTTGCATGTCGGGGGATGAGGAACCTTGCGGATGGTATTGGCTTTCAAAAAACACATTTTATAGAGTAAGGCTGTTATTTACTGGATTCTGCTGCTCATGGTCATCGTTCTGAATCGCAAATCTAGGCGGCGGAATGATCCAACTACCACAAATCGGCATCTCCTTCGCATAGTCGGAGTAAATCTTAATCTGTGAGATCCCTAGAGCGGTGAAGCCGTTACTGGAAAGGACATTGTCAGTGTACCAGCTGTTAATTGTTGACGGTCATGGAAGCCACCTGTAAGGATGCCTCCTTACTCGGGGTAGTTACGGCCGTCACGTGGCGTCATCGAGACTCGGGGCCGTTACGGGTCAGTCGCGACTGACAGCCTTAGGCACATAACGTAAGGAAGCCTTAGGCAAACAGGGAGCTAGCTGAGTCGGAGCGGTTTCGGGTATTTTAAGGGAACAGTCATACAGGGTTACACCTTCATCTTTTTTGTATCCTTCGTAGTAGACCTATAGGATTGCACCGACTCATATCCGACTCGCACTCCCATATGCCACTTCTCGTGATACGGTGCCCTGCGTCCTTACATTATACAAAAAAGATCACGCCTGCCGGGGACGGCCGTACTCAAAGAATATCCCACACTGGAACGACTCAGGAGAACTACCGTTACACCACCGACCGCGACTCGGAAACTGCGACGGAGCTGAGACCTGACGACTTCAAATAGCCGTGACCCCAGAGAACTCACGGACGACCAGTGGATCAGGGTTTGATCCTGCAGAGCAAGCTGGTAAAGTCGTCGACGCGTTGGCGCCGAATAGGATACGAGATCCTTAAGAACCCCCTCAAGCACAGAGGTAATTGTGAACAAGAGTGTTGATAGCTACGAGCTACCGGAAGTCAAACTCTTTCGTATCGACACCGATACACCCCCGAACCAACATGAGGAAAATGACCTCAAACATTCCCCAAGACAATGATTGTCAACCGTCACGAATGTCAACGAGACAAACCACTGCTGCAGCTGGGACTGCTGCACCCACCGAAGACATACCGGATCGAATGGCAAACCTCGAGATCCAGATGCAGGAGATCAAGGAAATGATAGCCAACCTAGCGGCAACCCAGACCAGGATCCCGTCCACGCCACCGGTGGACACCGTCGAAGTTGAGAAGCGACGAACTTCCCCTATGCGAAACACCCCCGAGACAGTTCAGTTGCCGCCTCTTCGAAACACTCGTTCTCCATCGATTCCGAGGATGTATTCCGAAGACCCTCCGAATTGCTACAAGAAATCCACCATCTCTGAGAAGATTACGCCGCTCAGCGATGGGATAGAACATACCTTTATGCAATGGAGCGCGTCCATTCGGGACCGCCTCGTAGTCAATGAGGATCACTACCCTACCGACGTCTCGAGAAGAGCGTTGATATGGGGGACTACGACTGGCCTGGCAAAGAAATACCTCGAACCCCAATACCTATCCGCGACACACGGGTTTCGGAGTGCCGACGAGATGATGGACCTGTTGGGTTCATATTACCTCACTGGCAACGAAACGGAACAGGCCCGGAACCTCTTCGACGACCTCCAAATGGGAGAGAAAGGACATACAAACGAGACTTTCTCAGAGTTCAAAGCTCGCTTCCAAAGTGCAGCTATTACAGGACAGGTCACCGAGTCAGAATGGTTTCGGTACATGTGGAACAAGTTGACCCCTCAATTCCGTAGCCGCGTGGCGGTTATCAAAAGTCAATGGAAGGGAGACTACCACACCATGGTCCGAGAACTCACCGCCTTCGATCAGGAGCGGCGCCGGAACAACGAGTTGAGCTTCCCGTCCAAGAGCGGCGAGTCGAGCTCCCGAGGACCCGCCCGCCTGAGCTCATCCAGGTTCACGCCCGTGGACCCCGGAAAGGCCCAGCCACCGAGGCAGACAAGAAGCCCTCTGGTTTCCTTCCAGAGGACTCCTTTCACAGCCACCGCCCCCAAGCCGGACATTACAGGCCGCGTGCGGACCGCCGTGCCGGCTACGTCCGGAAACTGTTTCAAGTGCGGCAAGCCGGGCCATTTCCAAGACAAATGCCCGCTCAACCCCACCGTCAAGGAGATTGACCGCGAAGCCCCTGAGGACGAAGATAATTGGGAGGAAGCAGTCGCCCACCAGTCGGATGCGTCCCTGGAGGATAACGACGAGGCCTAGGGAAAGGCTCCTTCCTAGGTCTACGCAAATGTGATCTGCAAGGACTGGATTTACGAGAGCTCTTGGGAGGCTCCCAATTTCTCGTTGATACAACCCTGAGTATGAACGGACTCGGGGTGCAAACGAAGTCACTCGCAGACACAGGAGCAAATGGCTACCTCGTCATTAATAAGCCTTTCGCGCAACGGTTGTCGAAAGCGCTTCAGAGCCCTATACGGAAACTGCCCTACTCTGTACCCATACGTGGATTTCAGCGAAATATCCAAAGCTACGTATCGGAGTATATTCGGTTACACTTGACAGTCGAAGGACGCCGAATATATAACTGCCCCTTTGTGCTCCTAAATCTCGGAGCGCAAGATGTGATAATTGGGAAGAAGCTTTTTAGCCGCTTCCGAATCCTACTCGACTCTGCAAAGAGCCGGCTAGTATGGCCAAAGGAGTACCCGCCTACTCCTAGCTGGAGCAAAGAGATCACCTTGCCCTACCACTCGCGTGAACTGTCTATATGTCACCCCGCCCATCAATCGGATGCGAACCGGCGGGACGATGCCATCGACCATGACGACAGACGACGTGAGGGCGGACGCTCGATACCAATGAAAGTGATAACGGCCCATCGTGACGCTATTATGATCACCCCACCGAGCTCGGTGCGAGACACTGGAACGACCCACCTGCACCCCAAAACCCCAAGGACACGAGCCTCGCCCGTGAACCTATAAAGACAGACCCTTAGGGCAAGTGGAGGCGAAACCTCCAAGAAACGGACCATCCGCATATGAGAGAAAGAATCATGGGAGGAGCGGAGTCTTCTCTCTTTCCCGACGCCAGACCCTGGTACGCAGCTTCACGCCGGTCCAAATTTGCGAGATTGGCGCAAACGCTTTCCACTATGAGATGATGCGAAGCGACTCCGAGTTCTTTACGACAAGCATCTACGAGATCGACCAGATCATCCGAGAGAGGGAAGCGGCCGAGGACGAGGAAACGCTCCGCCTCATTCGGGACAAGCTTCCGCATATGCACCGCAACTATTCCGATGCCTTCTCGAAGTCGGAATCTGATCAGCTTCCCCCGCATCGCATATACGATCACAAGATACAACTAGAAGCCCCTTTACCAAATGCCTTTTCGCCACTATACCGACAAAGCACCGAAGAGCTTAAGGCGACTAAGCAATACCTATTAGAGAACCTCGAGAAGGGCTTTATAGTCAATAGCAATAGCCCGTTTGCCTCCCCTATACTGTTCGTGAAGAAGGCAGATGGCAAACTGAGATTTTGTATCGACTACCGGAAGTTGAACGGACTTACCCGTAACGACCCCTACCCTATCCCGCGTATCGACGAACTACTAGGACGGGTGTCGAAAGCAAAAATCTTCACGAAGCTAGACATTAGGCAAGCCTTCCATCGTATACGAATGGACCCCGACTCCGAGGAGTACACGACCTTCCGGACTCGGTATGGATCCTACAAATGCAAAGTGCTGCCGTTTGGCCTAATGAACGGCCCCGCAACCTATCAGAGGTATATGAACGACGTTCTTATGCAATACTTGGACGACTTCTGTACTGCCTACCTAGACGACATCCTAATCTACTCCGAGGACCCCGCGGAACACATGGACCACGTACATAAGGTCCTCCAACGGCTTCGAGAAGCAGGACTACAAGCCGACATTAAGAAATGCGAGTTCAACGTAACCCGGACAAAGTATTTAGGCTATATCCTGACTACTACCG